GAGGAAGACACTCACAGCACCTGTTGTTGTCTTATGAAAAACTACAGATTCTAGGGCTTCCCTGGTGGCGCAGTGGTTGAGAGTGCGCCTGCCGATGCAGGGGACACGGGTTCGTGCCCTGGTCCGGGAAGATCCGTATGCCGCGGAGCAGCTGAGCCCGTGAGCCCGTGAGCCCGTGAGCCATGGCCGCTGAGCCTGCGCTCCGCAACGAAAAATTACAGATTCTAGTTTCCCTGCCTTTCTGTTTCCTGATTCCCTTTGAGGGTAAACGGCCCCATGAGCCTACTGAGTAAAGGCAACCCTCCTTTCATTAGTTCCTCTGATATTTAATAAGAGTCTGGGCTGGGGATACAGAGATTTACTGGGTATAATCCTTGCTCTCCAACCTTGGAAGGACATAGCAGAAAGAACTGCAGGTCAAGAAGGGCAATTTGGAAGACATGCTAAGGTAGAATTTACTAGACTTGGTAACACTTTGAGAGTGAGGGAGGGGAATCAAGAATGACTCCTGTTTCTTTTCTGGTATACTTTACACAAAGTGCAGAGTTTGAGGTCCAGCTCCCCTGGTTGTAGGACAAAGGTTTTGAGATTCTGGCATAAGCCCTGGAGTTGGAAAACATTTGCTTCCTGAGTGCTTTCTCAGAAGCCAAGTGAAACACTGTTGGCAGGAAATATAGATCAACTACCTATAGGATTTGAGTTCCCTTCTTTGCCCCCTCCACCCATACAAAAGACATTTGGTTAAGACAGACATTTCTTAACATATTTCTCTGTATTTACTTACTTACAGCAGCTGACTTGATCTGTGTCATTAGTTCCATAATTTGGAGTCTTTGTAGACAAAGAAAAAAAGGCAAATTTAAGCTCAAAAAGAAAGAACTTTAGAAAGAGAATGTTAGCACTAGAAGGGATTTTTAGGGATGATCTAGTCCAACTCCCTTTTAGAGGAGATGTGAATAGTACAAAATTTCAGAGGCTAGGTATAAAATATGTTTTATTTCTCCCAGCAGAGCACCTCTTTTCGGAATTAAAAAAAAAAAAAAAATTGTGGTAAAATACACTTAACCAGCACAACTTTTTGTTAACACCAGGCTGTCTTTTTTTTTTTTTTTTTTTTTTTCTTGCGTTATGCGGGCCTCTCACTGTTGTGGCCTCTCCCATTTGCGGAGCACAGGCTCCGGACGCGCAGGCCCAGCGGCCATGGCTCACGGGCCCAGCCGCTCCGCGGCACGTGGGATCCTCCCGAAACGGGGCACGAACCCGCGTCCCCTGCATCAGCAGGCGGACTCTCAAGCACTGCGCCACCAGGGAAGCCCACCAGGCTGTCTTTTGATGGCTAGAGCTGCCGACATTGCTTTACATTGCTTTAGAAAACAAGGGCACTTCATGTAGAGGCTTAACAAACCCCATTCAAGAATGTTACAGAAACATTTTCTAGGCTGGAAGGCAGATTGGCCTTCACTAACTGCCTCTAAGGGTCCTTCCAACTTTAAGTATTTATAATTCATATCAAATTCAGAGTTATCCTGACACCTTTAATGCTTTAGGATTTGAAAAATTACTCCAGGATTTCGTCTTGAATTTAAAGCTTTAGTTCATATTACATTCTGAATATGGGTCTTACACCTGTTTATAAATCTCCAGAAGGAATGTTAAAATCCCTTGTGAAGTCTTAAGCCCATATACAATGTGACGGGATATATTGGTTCCCAGAAGTTTCAGGTGCAAAGATGGTTTCAAACCCCATTTAGGCTTTGTCACGTGTCTTTAGTAAACAAAATCTGAACGACTTAATTTGCTTCTGAAAGCAAATGCACTGGTCAGAAAGCAGACATGAGAAGCAATTGGCAAGAATGCAATAACTATAACAGGTGGTGGAAGCCTACAGCGGCACAAGGGGCTATGCAAGTTTAGAGGCAGGAGGAATCACTTAGGTTAGGAGGATCAGGCAAGGAGGGATGGGGAGGGGACTGGAGTTTGGGGTTTATACTCTTATCACTTGAGTCATCAGGCTCTAGTCTTGGGGCTGAGTCAGGGAGGGGGTCATATATGAGAGCCCTAGTGTACCTCCCTGAATTTTATCCCTTTCCCTTCACTGGAATAAGTTGGACTTTGGCTGTCATAGATCTGAAGTGATTAGACATTAACAGGCATATGCTCTGATTTGGGGAGCTCTGAGAAAGTCCTAAGATCCCACCCCACCATCTGTCCTAGCCAGTCTCTCACAAAGCCTTTTTTTTTTTTTTTTT